AAATATTACGAAATGAAATTTTCCACAATATATATTGAATTACAATGAAAACAATTAAATTCGAAGTAATCCGAAAACGATAAACCTGAAACAAAATACGTTAAAATACTAGCTATTGAATTTCGAAAGTTTACATTATCGTTAAAAAATTTAGTATTGAACTTCGAAGGTTTTCGATAATAAAATAATACATATCGAAATTTAACCATTAAATTTCGATTTCAAAGGGTTGCGACACAATCAATAACCTTCGAAATCTAACGTTACGATATAATTTCGAAAGTTTTTGAATTAATATAATTACTGATGTAATACTATAGAATATGTATTTTACTTATATTATTTGAAAAAATTAACCTTCACATTGGATCCACAAATGATGACACATGACTGAATGCATTGTTAGATATATTTTTTTATTCATGTGACCTGATGGTGGCTAACTTTTATTGTCAAACCACATGCGAACTGTCATATATCTAATAGAAAACAACCTACAATTGCCTGCCAATCATCCATAACCTATTTCAGAAAACTCCTTACATTCGAAATCAAATATAGTTGTCATATACTATACAATTTTTGATAACAAATTTAAAAATGTAGAAGCTTTAAAACATTATACAGAGTAGTCATCACTAACTAGCATAACCTAATTCGGAGAACTCCTTAGTTTTTAAAATCAGCCGCAGTCACCAAATTGATATACAATGTGTCATATGTAATCTGATAACAGAAATCAACCAGGCTGCCAATTTGATATATGACAGTTCGAGTGTGGTGTAAAAAATAAATTATGTCACCTTTGAGTGTGGCCTAAAAAACAAAACACATGTTATTCGAGTGTGGCCTAAAAAATAAAACACACGTCATTTGAGTGTAGCCTAAAAAACAAAACACATGTTATTCGAGTATGACCTAAAAAACAAAACACACATCACACCCGAGACTATAGTAGTCTAATTTAAGCCATTTTGAGTTTATATAAACTCAAAATGACTACTTTGTACTTTGAATATGAATATAATAAAAACTTGAAACTATCATAGTAAAAAATAATTTAAGATTGAAAAGGCCATAGGAAGTGAATTGACAATGTCAAATTTTTTTTTTGAATTTTTTGAATTTGAATATTCAAAGATTAATTATAATTATTTATTTCTGAAATTTTTTCTACAATAATTTGATTGTACTACAAATATACAGTATCTTCTTTTGAAGAATAAATTTCAATATTGTAAGCATTGTGAGTATTGTGAATATGGAATTATGGAATTTATTAATTGTATTAATGGCAACCATATTTTAATTCTTTTAATAATTTTTATTACTACAAAAAATTTGTTCAAGTTGCTTTTTAGACATTTTTATAATTTTTCAATTTAATTGTAATTATATTTTTAAATAATTAACTAAAACATTTGTGGATATGGATAAACACAAAAATATATTTGTTAGGATTTAGATAAACTTATTATACCAACTAATTTAGAAAATAGTTTATAATATTATAATAAAATTAACAGTTGTTTAAAATTCAACGTGCAGAAAGGTCCTACGTTACACTTAACTTGGACAATAAATAAATAATAAATAAAATTCTAATTAATAAATAAATGATCCGTTTCAAACGAACTTACGTCGCTTTTCTTCATACAATGTCAGGAGGTCCAACATATACAAGCATTCAACAAAAGGTATAATAATAATAATAATAAATAAATAATAATGATGATTATTTGTTTGTTTTAATGGAAGTTGTACAAAAGTAGTAGTTGTACAAGTTGATAGGGAAAAAAATATTTTAACAAACAAAAAAAAAAATAATAATAATAATAAATCAAACATATATATATTAAAAAAAAATAAAAAAATAGTTAACGGAATCTCTTAAACCAACAACTTTAGAAATAACCAATAATTCACATTTACATGCTCATCATCAAGCGATGAAAGATGTTACTAGTAAAGAAACCCATTTTAGTGTTTATGTTGTTTCCGATCAATTTGAAGGAAAGGTAAATAATAATAATAATAATAATAATTTGTTATATTTTATATTTTATATGTATAATATTAATTTATTATAATGATAATAATAGTCACTTATGCAAAGACATAGACTTATCTATCAATTATTGGATGATGAATTGAAATCAGGTGTACATGCATTATCCATAAAAGCCAAAACATCCAAAGAAATTGAACAATAATAAATAATAATTAACAAATATAATTATAATATGTAATTAATTGAAAATTATATAAAATGATAAATTTTATTTATTTATTTATTTACCAATTATCATTCGTTCATATACAAAAAATCTTTTTTTTTTCTTTTTTATACAAAAATAAAACATGTGGATGTTTAATAATAATAATAACAAACTGTCAAAAAAAATTTTTTTACATATTAATAAATATCTTAAAAAAAAAAAACATACATCATATTTTCTGAAGAAAATCATATTATGATGATGATGAATGATGATGTGATGAAAAGTGTGATTATTTAATAATAATAATAATACTATAATAATAATTTGTACAAAATTTTTTTTTGAAAAAATAAAAAAAAAAAAAAATAAAAAAAATAATATATATATATATAAAAAGAAGGAAAACGTGATTAGAAAATGGTATACAATCTTATCACCCTTTCTTCCATTCATTCATTCACTCGCCTTCATCAGCATATCTACCAAATATATATTCAATATATATTCCTCCAGAATAATAAATATAATAAAAATAACGTGAGAATAAGAAAATATAATAATAATAAAAATATAATATAATAATAGTCTTAAAAATGTATAATTAATAAATAAAAATAATAAATCATAACAATAATAATAAATCTATTATTACTATTATTAATGATTTTATTATTATCATCAATTATATTAATAACAATTATTATTAATTATTTATTATTAATTATTATTATAATTATAAAATTATTTATTATAACAATTATTATTATCATTTTTAGAAGAATCATCATCAATTGTCTTTGAACTGTTATAATTGATCTAACATTATCCGATATTATCCGATTGTCGTGGTGGTGAGAGTGGTTGACGTTGTTACTCCTTTTTTCTCCGATTCATTGTTTTTGTAATTTTTATTATTGTTGTTGTTCTTGTTTTGAATATCATTATTTTTATCATTACTTTCATTATTGTCATTATTGTCATTATTTTCATTATTGTTATTGTCGATATCCTTATTATTATTGCTGTTACTTTTTATCGTCGAAATTCTGTTATTACTACTATTACCATTATTATCATTATTACTATTATTATTATTGGTTAATTTTTGTCTTGATAAACTACTAAATTTATTATTTTCTCCTATGTTTGTAATAAATCCAGTAGAATTTGATCCAAAAGTAGAATTCGATCCAATAGTTGAATTGGATCCAATAGAAGAAATCGAAGATCTGGCAACATCAGTAGTTGATCTATTACTCTTTCCTTCCCCATAAGTTCTCCATTTTCTCCATCCCTCAAAATCAATTAATGCTTGCATACAACCCCATTCATTAATTTTCTTCTCTAACCATATTAAACTAACTGGTTTGGTAAGGAAATCATTACATCCAGCTGCCAAAGCATTTTGTCTATCAGAAGGTAATGAGGAAGCCGTTAAAGCTAATATTATTACTGGTGCCACATTTTCAGGTGAACCATCATCACCTTCGATCACTTCAATTACTTCTTCTTCTTCAAGAACTGAAGGAGTTGAGGCAGTTGATGATGAAGGTGATGGTGATGTGGATGAGGTGAAAGGAAATGAAGATTGTTTTGATCTTTGGGAAGGAAATATTCCAATTTTCCTGGCTTTTTCTTCTTGTCTAATTACTTTTGTGGCTTCAATTCCATCCATTACTGGTAATTGAATATCCATCTAAAAATATAAATATAAATATAATTATTAATATATAAATATAATTATTAATGTAGATATAATTATTATTAATATAGATATTAATTTAAATTTATAATTATGAACAATAAACAACACTTGATATAAATATAAATAAAAATAAAAATATAAATATAAATATAAATATAAATATAAATATAAATATAAATATAATATAAATATAAATATAAATATAAATATAAATATAAATATAAATATAAATATAAATATAAATATAAATATAAATATTACTTACCAAAACCAAATGAAATCCACCTTTCTTCCATTTATCTACCGCCTCTTGACCATTAGTAGCACATTCATAACTAATTTGTTTCTTTCTCATAAAAGTTTGTAAAATAGCTTGATTAATAGGATTATCTTCCACAATCAATACATTGATCGGAGGTATGACGTGATCCGAACGATTATTTCGATTTCGAGGTTTACTTCTGAAAATTGATAGTGAGACCGATAATGGGGTGACGGTTGGATGATTATTATTATTATTATTAGCGGTAGCGGTGGTGGTGGTTGTGGTAGTAGTAGTAATAGTAGCGGAAGTAGAAATCGGATTAATGGTAGAATTCGTATTCGATGATGATAATGAAGTATTTGAATGATTATTATTATCATCCTTCTTAATTAATTGAGATGTTTGTTTTAATGGTGATTGTGGTCGATTATTACTGTTATTATTATTATTATTATTATTATTATTTATAACATTATCAACTATTGGAACTTCCGAAATAATTTTAATATTATTATCATCAATAGATGTGGTGGTGGTGGTTTGTATTGTTTTTGTTATTTGTGTTATAGGCGTTGTTCCTTTTGTTGCTGTTGTTATTGTTGTTGTTGATGATGCCACTGGTACAAATCCAGGTGATGACGAGGATAGTGATGATGAAGATTTATTACTATTACAATTATCATCATCATCATTATCATCGTTATAATCATCATCAACATCACTATTCTTATCTTTCTTCTTATTCTTATGAATATTAACTCCTCGACTCGTTCGATAATTATTATTACTATTTTCTTTCGGAGGATTTATTATTACACCCGGTGGTCGAGGATTTGGACTATTAGTATTTGATCGTGGAGTTTTATTGATATTATTTAAATTATTGTTGTTATTGTTATTATTATTATTATTATTATTATTATTATTATTAACATTAGATGATGGTGAACGTACATCAGAGAAATAATCATTCGATGATTCCGTTACTTTTTCTAATGAATGATGACCACCACCACTACTAAGATTTTTATGATAATGATTACCACTATTACTACTATTATTACTGTTATTACCATGATGATGATGATGATGGTGATGTTGATTATGATGATGGGCACTATTACCACCACTATTATAATTATTAGAATGATTATGAAGATGATGATAAGGATTAGTATCACTATCAATATCAATGATATGTGATCCACTAGTAAATCTTGAACCCGGACTCATAGGTGAGGTGGCAATTGGAATATAAACGGGATCTACCACGATCTTATTTATGGTGGTATATAAAGCATTTAAAAATCTTCGAGGTCCAGCCGGTTTGGGAATTACCAATACTTGAGGTAATAATGGTCCTACACCCATAACACAATTATCCATTGACATATAAGATGATATCATGTATTGAACCGAATCTTTAACGGATTTATAATTTGATAATGAAGTGAAATGTATAATGGCAGTGGTTTGTTGTGGAAGTACTGGAGTGGTTTTATGACGTTTCGCTCTGGTATTTAAGAATGATGATGATGATGTTGTTGTTGTTGTTGTTAATGATGGTGACGAGGCTCCACCACCATTGCCACTACCACCACCTCTTCCACCTCCTTCTGAAATTTGTGAAATTCCATGATGTGATATTCCTTTATGTGATATCCCTTGATATGATATTCCTTGATATGGAATTGCTCCTCGATATGGAGTATTACGAAATTGTAATAATTGTTGTTTAAGTGTTTCTATGTCATCATCAATTATAATGAATGTAGGAGGTAATGTTGTTATATCTTGAGGTGGTAAATTATCGGTTGTTGTTTTGTCGTTGTTGTTGTTGTTGTTTTTACAAACGGGGGTGGAATCATTCGTCATTCCAGGTGATGACGATGATGATGATGATGATGTTAAGGTTGATGTTGATGATGGTGACGAAGGGGATAAGATTGGTGTCGCCAATATCGTGGATATAGTTTTATTATTAGGAATAAATTCAATTTCATCTTCTCTTATTGGTACATGAGAAATATCAGTTCCCCAAGTGGTTAAACAACTTGTAATATGTTTGGCGAAATAACTTTTACTCGTGGCATATAACGTCACCCTTTGACCTCTCATAAATTTTGTAACTTTGCCAAGTTCCTCAACTGATGGTTCCCCGGTAATTCTTGAATGAGGATATCTTTTACGAATTTCATCGTTAACATTCGGTGTGTAAGGTGGAGTTAGTGGTGATCCAGCTATTAATTCTAAACTAATTTCAAAATATTGTCTTTCATCTCTTTCTTCGGCTTTTAATGTCGCCCCTAAAAATGTAAATAATCTATGCATTAAATTTGCGTTAGGGTTTACCTTCATTTTTTGTTTACGTTTACTATTATTCTTATTCTTATTGTTATTCTTTTTATTAGGGTTCTTATTATTATTATTATTATTATTATTATTATTATTATTATTATTATTATCACTATTATTATTATTATTATCTTTAATATTATTATTATTATTAACTTTATTATTATTATTAACATTATTACTTTTATTATTATTATTTTTTGATGTATTTATTTTATTTGTTGTAATTGTTGTATTTTTTGTTGTATTTTTTTTGGTTGTTGTTGAAGTGATGATGGGAGTTGGAGTTGATGTCGATGAATCGCTTGGTGAATTTGGTATTGAAATCGATGATGTTCCGGGATTATTAATTATTTCAATTGTACAAATGACTTTATCATTTGGATTAATCTCTCTTTCTTTATCTTCATTATCTTCAAATGCTCGTAATCGAAGTCCCATTTCTATACATGTTCCTGGAGTTGCTCCAATTAATATAAATGAGAGAAGCTATAAATAATTTAAATAATTAAAATTTTTTTTTTTTTGTAAATCTTTTATTTATTAATAAAGTATTAATTAACTCTCCCCTTGCCAAAAAAAAAATTTTGAACAAAAATTGAATTATAAACATTATAAAAAAAATTAAAATTATTTACAAAATTAAATTATATACAAAATCAAATAATAAAAAATATAAAAAAATAAATTAGGTAATAAAATAAAATAAAATAAAATAAATAAAAAAAAAAAATTAAATCATAAATGAAAAAAAATAAATAAATAAATAAATAAAAAGAAAGAAATTTAAAATTATTTATAATACTTACATCTATTAAAGCATGCCTAAAAGCTGCCTCATCACCAATAACATTCAAATGATTTAATCCATATTCTACATGATAAATAACTAATTCCACTTGAGCTCGAGAAGTTGTTCCCGCCAATGCATCTCCAACATTTTGAATCATTTCACCAATATCAAATTCCCTTTTAATTTGACTCCTCTCCGTATCACTGGGATCCGTAAATAAAAGTAATGAAAGTGTTCCTAAATGAGTGGAAATATAATTAACTTCCTTAAGTGATGTATGAATCGCATTAATTGATGTGGTGGGGGTAACGATCGAACAAGCGGATAATTGTTCATGAGGTTTGGATAAAAAATGTGGAGGGGATAATAATTTTAATGTATCCATTGCCAAATCCGTGATCTGCCTCAATTGTTCTGAAATTGTACGTAGATATAAACCTTTCCTTTCACTAAACCTATCAACCGCTCGATAAATGGATTTTTGTGAATTCATTCTTTCCTCTTTAAGTAATGCTTGTTTACGAAAATTTTCTTGAAGGTAAGCATTAAGTAATTGTTCCAAAATTAAAAAAATTGGTAAACTTAATACGGATCCATAAAATATAATATTCCAAGAAATCAAATTATTTAAATTATTTTGAAATTTCAATTGTTGATGAATCAATTGAATCAATTGAATAAAGGTTATAATAATTGATGCCTTTTTTCCATAAATGATTTTATCCTTAAGTGAATTGGAATTATTATTTATAAAGAAATAAGAAAATATCCAAAAGATTGAACAATAAATGAACCAAGTGGTCCTGGAAATCTCAAATAAAAATAATGATAATAAGATTTTCTTTTCGGAAGTGAAAGAAACCACGGCTGAAATTATTGAAGATACTGTACACCAAATTAATGTCATATTTAAGGTTTTATTAATTAAACTAAATACCGAATCCGCAGAAAATTTATATGCGTTATTATCACTTGGTAAAAAATCCAAAGCATCGATTGTCGTTAATTTGATATATTTTGATTCATAAGGTTCCTTGTTTGGCATTTCATACCCTTCTTCATCTTCCGAACTATCAGAGATCAAAACGGAAGACTGAGTCGTTTCTATTTTGGATATCTTATTTTTAAGAGAGGAATAAAAAGAAGGAGACGACGACGAAAAGGAATCCTTAAATTCTTCTTCTTCAAACATGATGGTTATAAATATTAACAAGTTTAAAAAAAGGTCGTAATAATAATAATAATATCAACCGTAATAATATTAATATTAAATATAAATATGAGGTCGTAAAAGAATTGACACAGTCACAAATAAAAGAATTATGAAAAGGTTATTTATCAAGAGCAAAGGTATATATATATTTATAAAAGAATTATAAAAGGTACAGGTGTCAGGTAACCGTATCTTTTTTTTTTTTTTTTTTTTTTTTTTGAATCCTGGCCTGAACTCTTTTTTTTTATTATGATTCCCTAATAAAGGTATTACGGGTACTACTACTACTAACTAAACTGTTTTTTACTACTACTACGCCTCCTTGGATGAATTTTTTTATATAAAATTCCCTTTGGAAAAAAAAAAAAGATTAATAAATAATATAAAAAGAAATTTAATAAATTTAGACAAATTTGGATAACTTTTATTTTATATATGATAATTGTTATTTGAATACTAATAATCATCATAATTATAAATACTAAACTGTTACTGTGTTGTGTGTATACTGTATAATACTGTCTCTAACAGATTATTATTAAATATTAATAGAGATTACTAGTTATTTTTTCTTGGTCTTTTTCGTACCACATTGACTAGACTGGAAATATCTAAACTTTGATGAGGTTTATGTGAAAATATTTATATTTATTTATGCAGGTAAAGTTATTTTTAAACTACCTAACTTTATTACACATTTCTCATCCATCTTTATATGGATTTTATAGATTTATATGAATAAACATTTTAAACATTTTAAGCCAATAATCAAGGAGTATCATCATCTACAACCATTTTTGAATATTCTTTATTTATTCTTTTCATTTGAATTTATTCTTTATTTATTTCCTTATTTATTTATTTTTATTTGGAAATATTGATAATAATAGATTTTTATGATGCGATGGATTTAATCGCGTAATTTCTTTGTTTGAAATCGGATTATTTAATTTAATTTATAATTTTATTTTTTTAATAATAATAATTTGTAATTTTTATTTTTAATAATGATTTATATTGTATTTTTATTTTATATATATATATATATATGTATTTTATATATTTAATGTATTTTATTAACAATAAATCAAAAGTCATTTTTAATTAATTAATAATTTTTTTATATTAAATTTTTTTTTATTAATTTTTAAAATTTAACTATTAAGGGGGGGAACCCTGCCTCACCTCAAAGTTTTTTATCAAATTTATTATTATTATTATTACTGTCATCAATCATCATCACCATCATCACCATCATCATCATAATTAATAATAATAAATTTTTTTTTTTTTTATATAATACTTATATGTTTTGTATGTATATGGTATGATAATTTGTGTGTGCATTTTTTTTATATTGATGTGTGTGTTGTGTATGTGTTGTATATATATATATCTGATATGTATAATGTATATTATTTATATAAAAGAATGAATGAATGAAAAATATATATATATGTAAATCTAATTATATCATATTTTATGACTGCTACTATAATAATTTTGAACATTATTTTTATAATTCTGATTATTATTATAATTCTGATCACTATTATTATTGTTATTGTTATTGTTATTGTTATTATTGTTATTATTATTATTATTATTATTATTATGATAATGATAAATTTCTCTCATGATTTTAGTCATCTTTTCACCTACAATCATATGTTCCACCTGACTTACCCTAGATCCTTTAATTAAACTATCCTCTCCCATGACTTTATCAAATTCTTCAAATTCATCAAATTCCATATTAAAATCGAAATCATCATTACTATAATAATAATTATTATCATCATCATTACTGTTATTACTATTATTGATATTATGATTATTAGGATTATTATTATCATCATCATCATCATTACGAATCACTTGAAGATGCATTAAATTTGATATATTACTTGGGGCCCATAAATAATCACATAAATGTTTTTGTTCTAATGGTAACAAGATATCTTTCAATAATATTGATAATGGAGTATCTAATGATTTATGAAGTACAATAGGTGGAATTATTACTGACGATGACGAAGAAGTAGGAGTAGAATTAGAAGTAGAATTAGAAGTAGAGGTGGAAGAAGGTGAAGATGATATCGCGTGTAAATTGTGATAATGAGTATGTTCAATTTTAATAACATTTAACATTCTTAAAGCGAAATCCAAACATTCAGGTGAATTTAATTTTTTCAATTGACCCAATTGATTAATTGATTCAAAGATTGAAACGAAATATTCCAAAAATGGGAAACATCGATGATCCTTTCTAGATTCCGGTGGTAAATTGAAACAAGATCTTTTGGATGATATTGAATAAGATTCAAATTTTGATATCCAAGTATTTAATAAATGAACGTTGGTAAATTGGGATGGAGGAGGTGAAGTGGGTAATGATGGAAATGGAAAAAGTATGTCATTATTATTATTATTATTATTATTATTACTGTTAATATTGTTATTATTATTATTTAATGTTGGATGAAGTGGTGAAGTAGGTGAAACAGGTAAAGTAGGTGATGATGCACCACTAAAAGTGAGTGGTGATTTGGGTGGTGATCTAATAGATTTATTATATATATCATCAAAGGAAGTTATTACTGTTGGTAAAGAAGGTGGTGAGGTTGATAAAGAAGATGGTGAAGGATATTCATTATCAATAACATGTCGTTGTTGTTGTTGTTGTTGTTGTTGTTGTTGTTGTTGTTGGATTTGTTGTAGTTGTCGTAATTGTTGTCGTGAAGTTACTGGTGAAAGTGATTTTAAAGAAGGAGAAGAAGAAGAAGGTGGAGAGATAAGAGGAGGATTAAATGATTCATATCGCATTATTGAAGAAGTATAATAATCAATTTCATTTGATACATTAGAAGAATCTGAATAATTACTTTCAATAGATTTTGATAATGATCCATTATAATTATTATAATTTCCACCATCATCATTACCATCATCATTACCATCATTACTATTAATACTATTAATACTATTAGTTCTACGGTGTATATTAACATCATTATTATTATGATTATTATGATTAATGTGATTATTGTTATTGTGATTACCATTATTATAATAGTTATGATTATTATGATTATTATGATAGTTATGATAATTGTGATAATTGTGATCATTATGATTATTGTGATTATTATTCTCATTATAATTATTATAATTATGACTATTATTTATTCTAGCAGATCTTCTTCTTGTCAAAGGAATACTCTTTTTGGTAGAAGTTTTTTTATTAAAACTTGGAGTTCTATTTAAACCATTAGCAGTATTATTATTATTGTTGTTGTTAATTGATTCAATCACTTGATGAGTAAATTTTTCATGTAAATTAGGATAAGCTTCAATAAGTTTTTTCATCATTTCCCTATTTTTATCCCTTTGACATTTTCTTACTAACCATTTCCAACATTCTTCAATTCCTTCATAAAATCCAATTTCACAACAAACTGATAAACAACCCACCCCTTTAGATAAATCATTGGCTAATTCTTCATTCCATTTCTTGGTATATAATAATTTTAATGTAGAATGAAAGTTAATCATATCTTCTTCATTAACTTCCCCTCTTGATGGTAATTTGACAATTATTCGTTTCTCCTTTAAAACATTCGAATTTGGTGATGACGGAATTGATGATGAAGTTCGAGAAAGTTGATCTTTAAAAAATTGGGATTGATATAATACAATTGAATGTAATCTTAATTCCAAAGGAATTCCTGATCTTTTGGCTAATACTCCTCGATCTTCGAATGATAATTTCACGTCACTATAGATTTTACCATTATACCAAAGTAATTCACCTACACTTGAATAATAATTTGAATTTAATTTACTTTTATTATTATTATTTTTATGATTATTATTATTATGGGTTTTATTATTATTATTATTATTATTATTATTATTGGTTTTATGATTGGTTTTATTATTGGTTTTATTATTATTATTGTTATTGGATTTATTATTTTTCTTATTCTGAGAATTATTATTATTCTTCTTCTTAAAATTATCAAAATTATTAAAATTGTAATTATCTGAAGGTGGGGACATTGAAATATCCATATAATTATCGTTATCAGAAGTTACCTGTAACAACGACAACATTTTATTATTATTATAATTTTGATTTTAATTATATTAAAAAATAAAAGTATATCACTTCACTTGTTATACTTGTTACGTATTTTTTTGTTATATAAATTTTTTTTAAAAAAGAATTTTTGAAGAGAGAGAGAAAAGCGATATAATTTTTTTTTTTTTTTAATGTTGATTGATATTTTGATAATGATGATAATGATAATAATTGGAAAAAAAAAAAGGAGGAAAGAAAGGAGTGGAAAAGGGGAAGTAAATCCCAGATTATATATAGATGAATTTAAGGAACGCAAATAAACAATAAACAATAAAAAAAAAACGAAGAAAAAAAAATGATGTATTTTATTTATTTTGGATGGTTGTACATTCTTAAACCAAACCATACAAATTCATACAAATTCAGATATTTCATACTCAACACTTTTAACTTAACACCCACACGTACATCCACTCACATTCACATTTTATTTACTTTACAATAATATCCGGTACGGTAATCAAATAACAACAAAAAAAAAAAATCAACAAAAAATAATTATATTATATTTGATTTTACCTAAATTGAACTTTTAATGAACTTTAAAATGAAACAGATAGTAAAGATGTACTTTTAAAATGAAACTTTAATATAAATTTATCAAACTTATGATTAATTCTATATTGAGCTTCAAAATATATATAAAATAAAATAATAATATTTAAGAAATTTGAATTATTTTATTTTATTTATTATTTTTATTATTACGTTATGTGAAAAAATAAAATAATAAGACAAAAAAGATAAAAAGAACGATATGTAGATCAGATGATGATGAATGCAAGCAAGCCTTTTTGACAAACAAATAACAAATAGTAATTAAATTACATTGCCTAAATTTAGAATAAATATATGTGTTATGTACGTGGTATATCAAATTTTGGTATTATATAAATTTATTATTCTTATTACTGGTAATCTATTATATATATTATATATATATTATATTATATTATATTATATGTTAAATATTAGTAAACTATAACTAAAACTGGATTGAAAATTCTTTCCAATTATGTAATTTAATTATGTACGTGACATGCATTTTGAACAAAACGCGAAGAGGTTTTATTATTATCGGTTATTATTTGTTATTATTATTGTTACTTGATTGGTCGTATTATTATATTCGTTCGTTAGTTGTTCCTTTTCATTAAATTTATTAAATTATTAAAAAATTTCATTCATTAATTGAAACAAAACATTATCTATTATAATTATCATTAAAAATAACAGATAATCTTTTTGTAATTATTAAAAACAATTATCATCATATTCTAATGCATATAATACATATATATAAATATTAGTTTTAATTATTTTTTAATTGAATAAAGTAACCACAATTTAATACGATAATGAAATACCATATTTTAGTACAATTGTCCATAAGTGCATATAATGTCAGAAATGTATATAAATGCTATACCAAAAAAAGGTATTCCATGAATATAATTGTTAATGAATTTTTTAATGAATTTCAAAACTATTAAAGATTCTATTATTTCTTTTTTTAAAAACGAACCTCAAATTAATCCGAACTAAGCCTAACCTAAGAATTAAACTATTCTAAATTTGGGATAATTCCATTTAACCCTTTTTTACTTTTTGGATTTAATTAATTAATTTAAATTATTATTATTACTTTATTCTAAAATAAAAAAAAAAAAAATCTAAAAATTTAAAAATGAATTAAAAAAAAAAAAATTCTTGGAACAATATAAACATTATTCTCAAGGGGAATACTCTATGTATCCAAGTTATTCATGTACAAGTGTTTTAAAGTCATGTTACTTATATTTGTATCCATATGTTAGTCGCAAAAAGTCATATGCTTATTTCTAAGGGGTGGAAGTATTCGCAGGTGATTTTTTATCATTCATGCAAACGTCGTTTTCCTTTTTCGCCTAGATATGATATGTATGTATGCATGATATGTGTACAATGATATGTGTACGTTGATTATGTATACGCATATGACACAGTATCGGTATATATTTGTACGGTGTTTACTATATTTTGTGTATGGAATGATATTCATGTTATTATTATTTATATATAAATTCTTCATTTTTAAATTCTCGTTAATATTGGTTGATTTTCACGTGTTACATGATACATACAAAAATACACGCGTTTTATGCACCTTTAATGCATGTAATACATGAAATTCGTCGGGATATTTATTTTTGCAAATTACCCGATGATTGTGACTTCCAAATAATTGAGAATAGTTAGATTCTATTTGATCTAGATTATAATTATTTATTGAAAATCCACAAATTAAATTAAATAGAAATCTCTCTAATGAAACTTTCCTTTTTTTTCAATAATCTAAAACAAAAACAATAGATAATAAATATTTTTTTTAAAAAAAAAAACTTTTACTAATCCTAATCTATTTTTTGGGTCAATTATTATTTACAATAATAATAATAATAATAACAATAATAATAATAACAATAATAATAATAACAATAATAATAATAATAATAGTAGTAGTTTAAAAATTAAAAATGAATGTGATCATGAATATAATAAATTAATGTAACTCAATGGAGTGTAAATAAATAAGTGAGAGAAAGAGAAGGAGAAATTTAAAAATTAAATAACCCAAGAAGCAAACCAAGTTATCCATCCAAATCCAGTATTCCAAACCCTCTTTTTCAAAATATATAAAACCACCAGTGAAAATACTATTAATCCAAATATTATAAGTAATCTATCAGTCCAATCAATTTGTTCCAATTTAGTAATTAGTTGTTTGGATCCACGTACGACAGAAGCGAATCCTCGATATTCACTATAAGTTGTTTTTAATGTCTTGGATGATTCATCTAGATAAATTTATTAATTTAATTTTATAAAATAAGATCAAAAAATTTTTAGAAATAAGTTTATAAATAAAAAAATTTAAATTTATAAATAAATTAAAATTAAATTAAATATTTATAAATAAAATTAAATTTATAAATAAATAAATAAATAAATAAATTGATAAAAATATTCACCAAGTATTTTTGCCGAATATGCACTACGTTCAATTTCTTGTTGCATCAATTCTGTAGTACGTCGTAATGATTCCGTAACATCCTTGGCTGAATGTATTAAAGTATCCTCGGAACTAAAATATAATATAAAATTCAATTAAATTTTAAAAATATTATCTAAGGATTATATTTGATTGTTGTATGTGAGTGTGTGCGAATTATACTAACGTAAGATTCCGATTTCGCATTCCAAAAGTATTAGGATTTCGTCCACCGTCACCACGTCCCAAGAGCATTTCACGTTCTATTTTTGCTTCCCTTTCAATATTTTGTTTGGAAGTCAAAATAGCCCTTCGATGTGATGCTTGTAATCTAAATTAAATTAAATTAAAATTAAAATTAAATTAAATTTTTCTTGATTTATTTATTTCTTTCTTCGTTCGATTGAAATAAATTAAATGAATTAAATGAATTAATGAAATAGATATATGTATACATACTGTTTATGTAGTTCTTCATTTCTTTGTAATCTTTGTAAAATTGCATTTTTATCTTTTTCCTTTTCTTGTTCTTCCGCTATCAGTTTAACAGTCTATTATAAATTAAATTATTATATAATTATTAAAATATATATATATATATATATATATATGTACACACTACTATTTCATTTCTATTTCCTATTATTTATCAATATTTAATTCATTAATAAATTTTTTTTATTGAATAGATCTTTGACTTGAAAAAAAATAAATAAAGTTCTCACATCAATCAATTTTCCAAGTTCCTTAATGCTACCTCTGATCTCGGCCGAAAGTTCTTGCTGAGTGATTAAGTTGAGTACATTCTTTAGGCGCGTGATTTTTTCTTCTATTTCAAGTTGACGTTTATTTAAATTTTCAAAAAGAGATAATATCTCGGGTACTAAGGTACTCATTATTATTTATTATTATTATTAATTATTATTATAATTATTTTTTATTATTATAATTATTATTATAATTAATGGTTTTCAATTATTTCGTGACATAATTTTATTGGTCGAAATTTGTGTCCCTTTTGATAATCCTGTTACATATGAAATACATATACGAAAAAGTATGTCATATTGGTGCACAGTTTATTTGGAAATATACTCAAAAGTGCCGCTGATCCGAAACTTATTATAAATAAAAGTTTTTAGATAGTAGCAGTTAAATTCGAAATATATAAAATATATAAACTTTTTTTTTTTAATTTTTTTTTAAAAAATAGCATCCATTACATTTAAAACATGGTGTCAGTAGTTTTTTATTAAAATTTTTAGACATTTAATAACATAATATGTATATTTTTTTTTAATGCCATTAATAAAAAAAAGAAATATTATATATAAATACTATTATATTTTTAATTATATTACCAATTTTCTATTTTGTTAATTTCTATTTCTAAACTATTTGAAATATCTTGTATTTCTATTTACTCCAATTGCTCTTCTCCCTCCTCTATATCATTTACATCATCATCACCAAGGTCCTCTCGGGTAATTGTATCTGCTCCCTTTTCAATCCGTTTTAAAAATGAATTAACATTTTCAAAAACTCCTCGTTTATAAAATTCCTCACAATATGTACACTTCCCATTATAACAACCTGTATGGTAACCGTGACCACAAATAAATGTTATGCCATCCTCGTTAACAAATGGGAGTTTGCATTGATCACATAATCCTTGTTGGGATAGATATGATGTGCTGTATCCAGTTGGTAAGCATTACAAATCTACTTCTTCTCCTAAAGTAACCAATATGTATATATTTGGATGTTGTTTCTTATTTCTTCTATTTATTAATTTCGGTGTACTCTTTTCAAGATTACAATACAGATCACGAAAGTATTGCAACAAAAAAAGACTAGTTTTGTTGGATAAAAAATTGAGCATAGGAATATTATATGAATAGTGTCATGTTTTGCAATATGTATCTTTAAATATAGAATCCTGATTCACTATATAATTGTAAAATGAAAAAATTATTAATTAAATAAAATTTTATAATATTTATTGAAAATTGAAATATTTACTTATAACATATGCCTGCTTAATAATATTGTCAACAGTTGCATTTGGTGATGTGTTTGCTCTTATTTTACTATGAGTATTTTCTACATAATAATCATTAAAACATGACAAATGTTTTTGAAGTGCATCAAAGAAAGGATTCATATCTTTCCAATAAAAAAGATCAGAAGGAAATACTAGAGGAGCTTTGTTATAATTTTTTCACTTCCATCGTAAAAAAAAAAGTTCAAATGTGAAAGACAGTTTTCACATATTCTTCAAATAGTCCTGATCTAAATAAAATTGCATAAATGTCTATTACTGCTGGAATTAAATTATCAAGCAAATCAATTGTTGTTCGATATTCAATATCTTTGATATTTTCAAATTTTTTTATAATTTGATTTCTGATTTTTATCTATTCACATTTTGAAAGTTCTAATAAAAGATTAATTCTCTAGGGTCAAGATTTTTTTGCTAATTTTTTATTTTCACCAAAAACAAAATGGAATAATTTTTCAAAAAAAGAGTGGTGTACTAATATTACTTGTTAACAATACATGTAATAAACCTAACATTGATAAAAAAAATCTAATATCTTGTGGAAAATTTGATTGAAATTCTGATAAAGTTTTGTATAAAGCTTTTCTGATAAATATTTGACCGACCAGTCTGCAACAATTAAAGCTACAAATTCTTTCAAATGTTGAGTTTTATTGTTGATAAATAAAATAATCTTCAATGCATTGATATAATCAAATATAGAATATAAATTTTGTTCTTTAAATCCAATTAATTAAAGACCTTTTATGGACCATTCTTCTTTTTGTTCAGTAATATTATCATTATAATTGTGTATTGTTAACAACTCTATTTTATCAAACTGATTAATAATTAAATTTTTTTGTAAATATGAAAAATTAAATACTCCAAAATATTTATTAATTAAATACCAATATATTCTTGGTACTTTTACATTTAATGGATTATGAATAGATATTCTATTAAATACAAGTAATACAGAAGGAAATTCATTAACAGGTTTAGCAACACATGTGGCAAAGTGCTTTGCTAATAATGTTGAAACTGTATCTGGTCAACGAACTTCATGTATAGAGTGATAATTATCTATATTATAAATGTGCAAAATATTTTCTAATAATAAAAAAAAAAATTAATTTTTGTTTTACATACTCAATACAACAATGCAATTTAATTACAACTTACATTTTCTATAAAATGTTTCTCAATTTTTGTTACATGTTCTTTTTGAATTTTTTTTTGATACTCTTCTACAGTTTTAGCACATGCTAAATATTCAAGAGTTGAAATTGTATCAATAGATTCCCATGTTACTCTTGATGTCATTAAATATAAACCAACTTCTAATTTGTGTTGATTGATAAATTTGTTTCATAATCTAGCAATTAAATAGCACAATTCAACAATAGATTTTTTGGCTTCATTTTGATTATATATGGAGCATTCTTTGAAAATAATTGTATTGATCATGTAGTTAAAAAAACCTTTTAGTTGTAGATTGGCATCTTCAATTATACTTTTAAATTTTATTAGATCTAATTCTAAATCAGTACATTTTCAACATTGTTGCTCATACAATACTTTGATCATTATTTTTACATTTGAGGAAAATGTAGTATCTTTTATAAAAAAAATTAATAAAAAAATATTATAAAAATTGTTTTTAAATAATAATACACTGACTAGTATTATTATTACTATTGTTTATAAGTTCTGTTGATTCTAATATTTTTTTCTTTGACAGTTTTTTTGATTTTTTATCAGATTTTCAGTCTCTATTAACTTCAATTATATTACAATAGTGAGAGTGGCATAATTGTTGTCTAATATATAAATATAGATACAATTTAAGCATATTTTTCTTTTGACATTTTTCATACACAAGTTTTGTAATTATACAAAAACAGTTAGTTGATTTTGTACAATTATTAATAGAGTAAGGACCAGTGTTATAGAATAAAATTACCATGATCAAAAAGTATAGTATGCAATACCAAAAACACCTACAAATAACTAACAATAACTTAAAAAGTAGTAGTGTTTAAAATTTAATTAGTAAATACTTATTCAGTTAACAAATAGTGAAAGTTTAATAATTTTTCAACTAATATTTATAAACAATAACATATATTAATTATCTATGAAATAGTAGTACAAGATCATGTGTTTATGTGATATTTAATTACACAAATATAATTATTAATTCATAACATTAATTAATATTACATACTATTATTTAACAATATTTAATAAACAATATAAAGAAATAGTAACCAATAGAAGTAATGTATAGTAAGGTACAGTAATGATACAGTAATGAAGATCATTAGATTTAAATATAAAAAGGGAACTGAAATTATCTTGCTCTTCTAGTTTTATAATTTTGTAATTTTGAATTTTGATAATTTGTAACTTATTTGAAATTAATAAATTTAATTTTATAATTTGTAACTTCAAGATAAA